GAGGTTCATGAATACTTATTGTGGGCTGCTGAAAGTGGGAAAAGAATCATTTTTTAGAAATAAAAGTTGCAACTTGCAAAGCAAAAGAATCAAGAGAGTCGTTTCCCAAAAAAAAAAAAAGAATCAAGAGAGTAACCACAAAAAATTCAAAGATAATATTTCCTGTATTTGCTGTCACAAATCTCTAGTCATTATTCTGTTTACACAACTCTTTACTTTTTGTGAAATGCATTTAGTTGCAAACTTGATTACTTGTTGTGCAGAAATTGGAACAACTTTTTAATGTGATTATCACACCGTTACATAATATCAATTCTTTCATATGTTATAGTATATCTTGTATCCGAGATATATCAACTATATCGTTTCCTCATATATCAATTCTTTCATATAAACGACATACTAAAAAGTTTCTCCGGATGTCGTAGAAAGAGCAAAACAAGTAGTGAAGGTGACAATTTTGGCAATAAGGCTAAAAGGTGATGGATTCTAAAGGATGGTGCTATTCACACACTCATTTTTACCTCCACATATTCTTGTTAACTTTTTGTCATTGATCTTCTTTAATTCATTCGATCCAACGGCAGAAAATTGAGAGAGGTATGTGATAAGTAAAAATGAGTGTGGATAGGTATCCGTTATTTTCACCGAAAGGCTTGATTATTTGTTTAATTTTGGATAAAATATTTTCCATGGAAATTAGATGCCATGTGAATCGGCAACCGAGGGACTCCAATTGCAAGAGAGCGGAGAGTGGGTGCTACTGCTTCCTACCACCCAAAAGAATTAAAAGATATTCGTGGCCTCAAACAGTTCACGTCTTGAGAATGTGGGACCAAGGAAGAAAATATCGGTAATATCGGAAATATCGGTAGTCCGAAAACACGGAAATATCGATGGAAATATCGGTAAAATATCGATATCGATAAAAATTACATGGAAACCACGGAAATTGTAAGAAAAACTTGGAAATTTTTAATGAAACTTTGTAGGATGTTTATTTAGTCAATTATCTATTAGTTTATCACAAAAAATTGGAAGGAAATGCATTGCATGATGGATTTAACTGATTTAAGTTGATTATATAGCGAGCTGGCAAACATTGTGAGCGTAGAAAATATGTAGTAATTAATGAAAGAAGTTTAAACACACCATAATCATTTATATATAATTAATTAGTACAATATTTGGAGGTTTTATTTAGGATATTAAAAAAAAAAAGGGAAGTGAATAAAATGATGAAGAATAATGTGCCGAATTTGACACTTTAAATTTCTTACACATAAGAATAAGACTAAACTTTAATTTGGATGCCGATTATGTTTTTTCAAGTTTATATAAAGTAAAAGAATTGAATTTTGGAAACCAGGAGTGTGTCAATTGAATTTTGGCCGGCGTGCAAGGTATCAATCTCTTCGTCTCGTCGAGTAGTACAACTTTCCTTTTTGTTTCACTCAATTTCGTTGAGTATTGAAAAAGTTATACTCATTTGAATCTTACCCAGTTTCCGGCGACCTCAGTGGCTTTCGAGGCAATTTCCGGCCAAAGCACAATGAGTCAGACGTCGTGTAAGGTACCATTCTCTTCGTCTCTTCGAGGGCTACAACTTTCCTTTTCGTTTCACTCAATTTCGTTGCGTATTGAAAAAGTTATACTCATTTGAATCTTACCCAATTTCCGGCGACCTCAGTGGCTTTCGAGGCAATTTCCGGCCAAAACCACGGCGAGTTGGCCGGCGTGCAAGGTATCAATCTCTTCGTCTCGTCGAGTAGTACAACTTTTCTTTTTTGTTTCACTCAATTTCGTTGAGTATTAAAAAAGTTATACTCATTTGAATCTTACCCAGTTTCCAGCGATCTCAGTGACTTTCGAGGCATTGTCCGGCCAAACCACGACGATTCAGACGTCGTGTGAGGTACCATTCTCTTCGTCTCTTCGAGGACTGCAACTTTCGTTTTTGTCTTGCTTGATTTCGTTGAGTTTTGACAAAGTTATGGCCGTTTAAAGTGGGTGTAAATTTTCGGCCGAAATTCTGATTTTCTTCCTTGAGTGACTGAGTCCCACATCGCCCAGCGAGGGCAGTGAGCAAGCCAAAATTGCCTATAAAAGGCACATTCACCTCCTCAGAAAGCTTGTCTTCATGTCTTGGTTGGCCCTTTGGGCTTTGATCAATAGTATGTTGAGATTTCTCAACATATTAAGTATTTTTGAATATTTTATTACGATATTTTCGATAATTTTAAAAATATCGCGATATTATCGATATTATCGATAATATCGCGATATTTTGACGAAAATTATTTGGGTAGTTAAAAAAATATCGGATCTTAAAAAAAACGATAATATCGGCGAAATATCGCCGATATTATCGATTTTTTATTCCTTGTGTGGGACAATGTTGAAGTTGATGGGTGTATGAATAAAAAGATTTGGAAAATCTTCCAAAACGAAATACAAGCACAATTTTAACATAAAGACCTGGATATGATATCCCCCTCCCCCTTTTCTTCCTGATTCTTTCTGCATTCTTTTTTTGCCTTTTTCTTTCTTGGTTATTCATCAATTATGTGCAACCATTCGTGTGTATGTGTCAATTTAGGCGCATACATTCGTAGTGGAAATTGTGAGAGGCCGAACAATTGGCAATATGGTTAGCCTCTGACACACTCCTGCTTAACTCTTGAGTCTGACCCTTGATTTTGTTTGATTTGTTCAATCCAATGGTTAGAAATAAAGAAGTGCGCGAGAAGCTAAAAATAGTGTGTCAAAGTCACTTCTCTTTTTGTATATGTTCATACATAGACACAGAGATACATTATACACACACATACATTTATATATATATATATATATATATATATATATATATAAAGAGAGAGAGAGAGAGAGAGAGAGAGAGAGAGAGAGAGAGAGAGAGAGAAATCCTGACAATAGAGTCGCACTATCTTACATTCAAGACTGAAAGAAGAAAAAATATCATGATTCATATGATACATATAATCTTGAAATGTACTAAATCAGATTACAGGAGTAGTATATAGAGACAACACATTAGGGAAATCAAACCCATTGAGAAGAGGTTTCTGCATGTTACCAAACACGTAATGCAAATCATTAATGTACAAATCAGAACCCTGCTGAGACAGCATAAACAAATAACTTGGATGCGTACGTAAAGAGAGCTCCTACATCTGTCAGTCGAAACTACAATTCCCAGCCCTGGGGTTCCTCCAGACGGAAAAATGGATAAATGACTAATTAGTCGCACTTTCTTCCCCCGCACTTTCTTCCCAACACTATGCTTTCCACAATCACAATATGGAGCAGGCCTTCTGTGCCTTTCTCTTCTTTTTCTTCTTCTGCTTCGGTGGCTGGAGAACCACTTTAATGGCTGCATCGAAGACTGCTTTCACATTCTGCACTCACAAAGGCACATTTAACGCAAATAATGTCAGTGTGAGACTAAGTCATACTTTCCCTGCCGGTACATGTGATTTGAATTAAAGTTACAAACCTGCTGCGTTTTTGAACTGCATTCTATGTAAACTGGAGCCCCAATCAGCTTCTTTAGTTCCTCTCCCTTCAAAAAGAACCCAAAAGAGAAGAGGAGAATTGTAGAAAAATCAGGTCTTTATTCTATGGGAACTTTAACGAAAAGCTTCCGATACTGTTCACTTTAACGAAAAACCACATTTTTACACTAAAAAGTCAGTCCTGGTACTATTCACTTCACCCTTTATTTTGTCCTTATCGTTAAAACTCAAAGTTTTCAAACCCTTTTCATTAGTTTTCCTTTATTCTATTAGTTGGTATGAGTTAGTGAAAACAGATTGATAACAAGATAAATGGTTAGGCGACAAATATTGTGATTACAAACTCGTTCCACTAGAAAATACCTGTGCTGTGGTAATTGGCACTGCACCAGGGTGATCTACAAAGAACTGCCTATCATCCCGAAGATCTACAAGAAGAAAATGAAAAGCAAAGGATGAATGACGGGAAAAGATAAAAAGTTGATCCAGTAAGCTACTGCAATATAACATGATGTGAATTAGAGTACATGAGATCACTACTGCAACATGACTAAGACATGATCTGATGAGGTGATCCTGACTATGTCTAAGTATACCTATATCAGACAGATCTTTTCATTTCCAAATGCACATGTAAAATCCAACTTATGTACGTATATAGATGCTGATTTGAAAGGGTTACAAAGAACACATCCTGATAAACAATTTAGTGTCGTTACAAAGAAACAGAGCTGTCACAAGAGTTCTTCAAAATTAAACTTGTAACCTTTACTAAGGTTTTACCATTAAGAATTTATTGACATTTTTAAAAAAGCTAAAAGGTAAGTTTGGACTGCACAAGAAAGCAACCTGGACAGCAACAAAAAACAGAAACAGTCAACAACAAAGATGCACTTGACTATCCCTTTCGATCTTGAAATATGCAATGATACTCTACTGGATCCAACCAAGAACTATTAGGTAACCATAGGCAGGAAAAGCTATAAACCTAGAGGGAAAAAACTATAAGATAATAGAGCAATTAAAATTGAAAGTGCTAGTAATCACGACTAACGAATACATAGTAGGAAACAAAGGAGAGCAAGGGGGTAGAGGTCTAACCGAGCTTAGTTCCAACAAGAATAATTGGAACACTAGGTGCATAATGCCTCAATTCAGGAACCCACTAAACATTGAAACAGGAAAAGATAAAAGCTTCATCAGCAAACTTAGACATCAAACAATAGCAGAAGAAAGGAGGGAGGGGAAGGAAAGGATTAACTCGGAAAATAGTGCGAGTCTTACTTTCTTGGCAACATTTTCATAGCTGGCCTTGCTTATGAGAGAGAATGCAAGTAGGAAGACATCTGCCCCACGATAGCTCAGTGGTCTTAATCTATTGTAATCTTCCTGCCCTGTTTCATAAATTAAAAAATCAGATCCAAGCTTTAGAAGAAGACAAAACAATGAGGAAGGAATATTGTTATGTTTTGAACTTACCAGCAGTGTCCCACAACCCCAAATTGACGGTGCTCCCATCCACAACAACATTTGCACTGAAATTGTCAAACACAGTTGGCACATAATCCTGCTCCCCAGCACATTGTAATCAAAGACAGCAAATCATAATCCATCTCTCGAAATGTCAATCTCATACAGAATAAATGGATAAACTTATGAAAACAAAATTTTGAAATCTTTATCATGATGAGGAAATTCTCGAAGTTACATTTTTACACCAACCAATCAATCCTATATTCTATTAAACAGGCATACATTTATGATCAATAAGTGAATTCTGTAAGCCGAGCTGCATAAAGAACAAGAAACAAAACATAAAAAGTGAAATCTGTAGACATGAAAATTTTCGGAGCTCAATATTCAACTCAAATACTCGGCTTAGTTGCGAGATACAATTTAACACAGGTTCATCAGGAATGGCAAATCATAGAAAGGGTCAGACTTAACTGAACAAAACCACGAAAACCCTCTTACAAAATTCTGCACCGCAAATCTCAATTTAAGCACAAGGCTCAAACTTGATGGAAATTCTGATTTCCTCATTAAACATTGCATACCAAATAAAGGGTAAGTTGAAAAATGTTGAAAAGAATAGTCTACTAAATTAAAAGCCGTAAATTGTTCGTGTTAAAATCGAAAGTTGAATTTAGCATGAATTACTCACAATACACCGACTAACCCCAATCAAATCAAGAGAATCAAGTTTCTTCTCATTTCCTGATTGTCTGAAAACCCAAATGATGAAACACAATACACAAAACAAGTTTTTCTTTCTTTCTCCCACATTTTCTTGGAAACCAAACAAAAAGCAAGAAACTTGCAGCATACCCAAATTGAGCAACCAGAAAACCCTACAAGTCTCAGCTAAGCAAACCCATCTACAGACAAACATCAAAGACTCAAACTTTTCACATCTTTTCCTTCACTTTCTCAGCAACCAAACAGAAAAGGAAGAAAACAAGAGAACTTTACCGTAGGAAAGGTGTTGCTGGTGTAGGAGATGAGCATACAGGTTTTTCCCACAGCTCCATCCCCAACTGTGACACACTTTATGAACCTGGAGGCACTCATTTTCCACCCAACTCTGCCTCTTCCTTCTTCTACTTGTGCTTCCTCAAAAACCCTAATCCAAATTCCAGCAGAGGTTTCTGATTTCTTTACCCCCCCACAATCCAGGCAAGTACTGAGACCCAGAGAGGGAGAGAGAGAGAGAGAGAGGAGAAAAAGAGAGGTGGAAGGGAAAGGTGAAGGGGGTTGAGCCTAAAAAGAGCCAGCTCTTGCCAGCTATGATAGAGTATGATATTAATGTGTTACTGTGTGCCTCAATGACTCAACATCCCAACTCAGTAAATTTTGGTGTTTCCATCTCACTGTTACGTGAAGTTGTGCGTAACTGTCACACTGTCGTATAACACATATTTATGATATTATAGTACACTAATGCATTTATATTATATTTTTATATCATCATAAGTGATATCTGATGTAAATAGCCATATTATTTAAAAAATTTGTAAAATCTAAAAAAATGAAGGATAAAGACTCATCGTATACCACAATCATCATTTAATTAACTAGTTTTTCTTAATTATTAGTCTATTAAATAATGAACTAAATTAAAAAATCTGATTAATTCAAATGATATGGATGTCCACATCAAATGTCACCTAAGATGGTATGAAAATGTGGTACGAATAACATTACTCATTATGGATAGGTTTAAAACATATGAATTCAGTCTTCCATTTATATTTTAACACGTAAATTAATAGTATTACGCATCGATATACTGTTACACACCAAATCTTGTCCTCAAAGTTCCAATTCAAGTTTCCAACCTTTCTTTCTAACTCAGTAAAACTCCACCAACCAAACCACCTCTTTTGCCTTCTTGAGTACCTTCTAATTCAAGAGATGCAAAAGAAAATCACAGGGATTACATGAATTAACTTTTTAGTTCATATCTTTTTTCTACCGTCATTGACTAATTGGGGAAACAAAAGAATATTATTTTGAGGTTGATGCTGTCATGTAGTTATGGCTTGATTCATTTATTCTGTGTTTCTTAATGTGGGTTGTAAATTGGTACCAGAATTTGCATGTGGGGTTGTAAACCCTAAAAATCTCTGCCCTCTTCTATTTCTCTGTTTCTTTTTCATTTAAAAAAAAATATCTTTGGGAAATTTATTTCAATATCCAAATCCAAAATATTAATAAGCAATTTTATATCATTCTAAGTTTTGCTCTAATCCTTGGACTAAAACTCAAATTTGAAGTTCTAAACCTCCCCCAACTTGCTCCAACCCTTGGGACGAATATGAATTTTAACCCAAAACTCATTTCTGGGGCAAATTTAGGCCTTGATTCCCTCTTGGGTTCGTGGGTTGGTCCACTATATATGTGTATTTTTTTTATATTTTTATATTTATAAATTCATTGAATCCAACGAATAAGGTCTAATATAATCAAATCCAAGAGTTAAAAAATATATATATAACGGTCCAAATTTAAATATAATGGATAAAGTAAAAATTCTTTAAAGTAATTAAAAAAATTCTTTCCTAGTGTTCCACGAGTTTCATGGTGTCAGTTTAGTAATTTTTCAATATTTATCTGAATCTAAATATTTTTAGATTAAAATGTTCATAAAATTAAATTAGGATAGTCTACATAATTTTTTTTTTAAGTTACTTTAAGAAAAAAATTTATTTTAAATTCATTCTTTAATAATTTTTGGCTAAAATTTAACCCAGAATGATTGGAGTAGAAAACTGTTTTTGGGTTAAAATTTTTAGATTTTAACCCAAGGGTTGGAGATGGTCTAAGGGTGTATAGATAGACCAAAATGTTTTATTGGTCAATAATATATGTTGCCAAACTATAAATCTAAATTACTGAACTCTTAATTCATAGTATATCAATCGACGTCACACGTAAATTTATGGGATTGAATATCACTCTCTATGTACAAAGTAAGGAACCAAAATTTATGTAAAACTGTCCCCATTTAACTGAGTAAGTAAGGAACCAAAATTTATGTAAAAGTGTCCTCATTTAACTGAGTGAACCGAAACTCCTTTACATTCCATTTTTCAGTACAGTAATGTGAAGGGGAGCTAAAACTAGCTTTAGTTCCCGAAGTTTGGCTTCTCCCGTTGAGAATGCTCTTACATCTTAAAACAACACCGAAAAAATAATAAGACGTAGATATAGTGTTCATTGGAGATAGGTGGGTTGCATGAGTAAAGAAGATGAAAAAGATGGGTATGAATGTCTTGAGATCTGAATGCATGTGTTCAATTTGCATCAAGGATGGATGTTGACAAGTTTTATGATTTCATGTGATCCTACTGGAAGATGTTGAGAGTACCATCCATGCTTTCTTCTGAAGCAATGATATGGAAAATACCTAATTAGGTGGAGATAAGGTTGTAGGGATCCTTGGCTTTCAAGGTGACCAAATATTATGTGTACTAATTATGAGGAGAAAAAGCAAAGTAGCTAGAAAACTAAAAGGGAGGGTAGTGATCGCACTCGGGTTCTCCTTCTGCACTCTTTCTCTTGTTTTCGTTGATTGATCATTTTCTGATTAATTAAATCATAAGGCTCAAAATAAAAGAAGAATACGAAAATAAAAAAGAAGAGTGCAGAAATCACTTCTCGATAGAAAATGGATTTAATTGGTTGACATGGTGACAATGGTCCTTGGCATTCAGTTTAACCAAGCAACTCCTTTTAATAAATTCTTGGTGGTTGAACGGTTAATGGCCAGTCCACCCACTTCATCATACTTATTGAAAGATATATACACACATTTAAAAAAAAAAATTGATATATTAGCATATAGTTTTGTTGCAGGCCCGCCTTATCATGGCACTTCATAGATTAAGCCAAATTAACCAATGTTTGACAAAATAATTAATTATTAAAAAAAGGATCAAAGAGAAATTAGTGAGAACAACGTGGGGAGGGTAAAGAAAAAGAAGTAGATGAGCATTCTTTATCAATGATTTAGTTAATTAATTAATTACCAGCTCCACAATAGATGCTAATTTGCTTTGTTCTGTTTGTTGTTTTGTTGTGATTCCTTCCCGCCTTCAAGTCAAGAAAATAAAAAACAAACTGAGGTTCCATTTGAGTCCATATAAGGAGCAACGTCCATGATTCTCATTTCAACCAAGTTTTCTGGTTTTATAGCGGCATTTAAATAGCGGCCTTTTGTGGTATATTACGATTTACCGCTATGATAAAAAGTAATTATGTCTAAGAATTATGTACGTTGTAAATGTACTTCTCTTAAGACACATTCAAGTGTGCTTGTCAATATCAAATGTCTAATTTATATAATGGCGTAAGATTTTTATTTCGTTAAAGATCTTGAGTTCAAATCTCATTGACATATGTAACGTGTTCTTATTCAAACAACGAAATTTAGAAAACCCGTTGCCTAACAAGACAAATGTAGCGACAAGGTTACAAAACTAGCTACCAATTGTCTGGGTGACCAAACCCTAAGTTTGAGTCCCTATCAATTTAAGTGAAGGAAGATGTTGTCCTTATTTATACAAAAAAAAAAAGAAAAAAGAAAAAAGAAAAGAGGAAGATGCTTTACTAAACGTCCTTTAATAAATACAAAACTGTGTGGAAAATCCCAATTATCTAATTATTTAACTAAGCCTAATACAATTAAAATGCTAATCAATACAAAATTGCGTAGCACATGGGGGAGTCCATGAGTGCATGTGCATGAATGACTAACCATCCTCCTCAAGGATCCCACTCCTCTCCAATCAACATCCTTATCTTTACATCTGTCTCCTTCTAAAGGGGAAATTTTAAATTCTGTCCAGAACACGTATAGTACACCACGTATTATTATATAAGTAGAGAGAAGTTTTATTTTTTAAGTTGTTAATTTTTTAACACAAATACCTCACCACATTTATATTAAGACATGATATACCACTCCATGTTCCAGACATACCGAAAAATCTCATTCTCAAGAGACCTTGGTCCCCTCACCTATAATTAAGACTCTAATCAATTTAAATTGACATGATTTGTTCAAACTTTTATCCAAGAAAATTACACATGATTAATTTGTAATTTGCTTAGCATGTGATGACCTAGAAAAATGTCAACCAACGTGCTTGGAATTGTGACCCTCAATGACATTTACATTATATGATATTTCAACAAAAACGTCGATTTAAACCAATTGATCATGGCAGGCTATATGCTTTTTTACATTCAAGTTCGAATCTCATTACTACAACTTAAAATAGTTTTAAAATCTCATGAATTTTACCACTTGCTTGTCTTCTTGCAAAGAATTCTCAGTCAAATAAATAAACGTACTACAGAAGCATATACAATTTTCAATCTTTCTCCGAGTTTTCAAGGCAACACAAAGTGCAGCACATGATAGAAAATTTAGGAAATTTTGAAACAGCAAATTCTTTGACCACTTTACCTATAAATTAAGACAAATTGCTCCTGATTGGCAAAATAAATAAATAACTAGTACAATTCTCTCATTGTTGTTAACACTAATAAACAATTAAATGTCAGGTTGGAATATACTGTATAATTTTAAATTAACTTTAAAAGATTGAACAGCTACATGTATTGGCAAGAATCTTACAAAACTTTGTTGCAGATCTTCAGTGACCAAACCAGACAGCTCTAGGAATCTTGCTTGCTCCATTCCTTGGTGCTGGATCTTCTTGGTCTTTTCCAACTTTGAACTGAGAGCGGAATCACCCGTATGCTTGTTCATGCGCACTTACGTCCCAATAATTGAAACTCGACATTAATTTAGCCAAGATGTTTAGAATTACTGCAAATACGGCTCAGAATCCTTCGTCCGAGCTTATGTAATGTAACTCCATCATCTTTACTGTGGCCGGCTTTGTTTTGCCTGTCAAACTATTCTCCTTTTCAGTTTTCATTCTTTTCGCATCCAGTTGCTGGTTTCTGATGACTGCGGATGGATCCGTGCTTGTAGAAGATGGTTTCCTGAGGAACGATAACAAATCTTCAGTGACAAGGAAGAAGAGCAAGTTACAAGTACTAATTATAATACTCTAGAATAATTTAATGTATGAATCACCTCTTCTCTACGCTGGAGGTTTGTTTGCTTTGCAATTTTGACTCTTTGAGGACGTCTTTCGGATCTGTCTTCCCTGCATTGTAAACATATCTAATGAGAAAATTGTGCAAAACACTGCCAGCAAGAGCACAGAAGGATCATATCATCGTACACTTACCTGTGACCGCCGCCAGGAACCTTAATCCTTGGGAGTGTGTATTTGTAGTCACTTTACTTCCATTGCTGTTCATATAAGGCACTAATCAAACCATTTGACATAATTCTGAAAGTAATTATATAAACAAATTGCATGTCTTACATGTTCGTGTATATGTGAAAGTAATTCTATTCTCCTGTCCCTAAACGATGGTGGATTAACATAAAGTTTATAAGATGACAAAGCATTGTACCATTGGCAACTAAAGAGCATGGTGCATTGCTTCTACCCACACACACACACTTATATGTAAATCCTATGCTGTCTATGACAAACCTTAGTGCCTTCTTTAGCCCCTCCACGGATAATAGCTTCAGTGGCTGCTTAGTTTTGCCTGAGTTTGTTTTGTTAGATAGAGGATCAACCAAATAAATTCCTTCTGAGTTAGAGGGACTCCGAAATGCTGTTCTCAAGTTCCTGGTAGCATTAGAATATATATAAGCAAACAAATTGTAGCACCAACTTGAAGAAACCAAAACAGAAAGGGTTCCTAGCATAGCACAAATGTGAAGTCTAGGTTAAAGAGAATCAGATAATTCGAAAACCTACCCCCCATTGAGCTCAGTTCGCATTGAAGAATATTTCTGTGATTCTTTCTGAAGAGATGAGAGAAAATAGGAATATCAGTTAGTAAGTTTGCCTTCAAAACAGATAAGATCAGGCAAACAAGGATTAAGGCACTAAATTGCTTACTGATTTATGAAATTTACAATATATCCCACGACGTCTGAGATAAAAAGAGGAATCAATGTTAAAAACATCAAGAAATAAATGGTACAGACACTACTGAAGTATAGATGCAAATAATGATACAAAAAGGGAATTGCTATTGGCACTCCAAAATCTAATTGTGCACTCCAAACTTTCTATATATAGAAAGAAAAATACTCTTATGAGTGCACAATTAGATTTTTGGCGTGCCAATAATAGCTCCCAAAAAGAATCTCAAAAATCAATTGGGTGGAAAAACAATAGAGGCATGGAGAGTGTTTGAAGACACCGTTGAGAGTTACTCGTGGTTTAGAAAAATATTACTTTACTTGGTTACATATCTGATCTGGTAAGTGTGTGTATATATATAAACATCTATCTGATGCAACTTATTATGCAATTATCATCTCGACGAAGTTCTACATGTCAGCACTTACGTGCTCTTGCTCAAGATTCAAGATAATTTATATAGCTCAATTTTTTACTGAAGATAACAGTCAGATGGCAGTAATTACTCACTATAACCATCCGTGTTCAAAAAAAGATGATCAAAGAACAGCATGGAACATACTTGTTTAAGACTACAGTACAAGCCATTCCATCCTTCCTTTTCCCTTTGCAAACTCCATAATCAACTGAAGTACCCATCTTCAGCATTTGATTGGCTGAATACACGCTCAAAGAAAAACCACCACCCTGCATAAACACATCAAAACAGTCATCTTTGATGATATAAGAAGGAAAAGTTCATAAAATAAAAGAACAGGCTGACAATTTAATACCAGCGCATCCTTGCGTACGGCGCAATTAAACAGAGCGAAAACTACTCCAGCCTGCTCTTTGAAGTAAGTCTCATAAGCATCACCAAATAAGAAGACAGAAATGGTATCTTCATCCAGACACCCGAGTTTCCAAATACAATAACTCTTCCCGTTTGAACTAGTTCTTGGAATCCCCTTCTCGGTCAACACTCCCGCAGTTGCCCAACATCCTGTAAGTGTATCCCCACGCAACGAATTCCTAGAAAAATCCCATGTAAAATATCACAACCAATTCAACCATCATGGGAATACAACTTTAAAAGCAAACCCATTTGGCTTCTAAAAGAAAGAATGTATTTCCAACTATCCAATCAAACAATATGAAAACATACAAAAATAATGCAAAGCAAGAAGATTACTTTATGGCAGACAACCGAACAAAACGAATGTCTGAAAAGTGATCACTAAGCTCTAAGGGAGTTACCAACTGCTTCCTGCACCCAAAGAGTGAAAAATCCTAAATCAAACTCAACATCAATGGTTCTTCACATTAATTGTGGCACTGTGAATGGTACTTATAAGCTACCTGATACGCAAGCCCGAAAACTTCTCCACTTCTGGATCAGTTGAGGCATTGGGCCGGTTCAACTTGCCAGTCTTCTGAACCGGTTTGGGTTGGTAATCAAGGCAGTCCTCAACAGCCTCCCTGAACACGGACATGTCCGCCGGCCCTCTTTGGCTCCGCAACTCATCGTTCGATAGGTACCCTGCAAAATTAAAATTACAAAAAATGAAGCTATTGAGAAACACCCACCAAACATTTCAGAAAATTGAAGGGACCCATTAAAATTTTCCAGGAATTGAGAGATAACCGATTAAACATTTCAATGAATTGGGAGATACCCATTAAATTTTTCAATGAATGGAGAGATACCAATGCCGATAATTCAAGATTCATAGCGAAAATGAGCAACCCAAATAATTAGGGAGGTTAATATATACCTGGCGAATGGGAAGGTGAACCAGGAGGGGTTTCCAAAACCCTGTCTTGAAGAGATAGAAGGAGATCGAGGTCATCCTGACGTTTTGACATGGTTTTGATTTCTCTCTCTCCTTCCGTCTTCCGCGTCTGTGATTTTTGTTGCAGTCGGTCTTATTTGCAGATTGTCTCGAGGTTTGAGAGGGCTTTTTCTTGTTTTTTTTTGGAGAGAGGTTTGGGAGGGCTTTGGAGGGAGAGTTTCAATTTTTTGGAGGGAACGCGAATTTGGAAGCTATGCGACGTGCTCTGAAAGACTATTTGAAAACACGTTTACCTTTATTGATTGGAGTTTTCTTTTTAGGGGTGGGCACTTAGAACCGAAAATCGAAACCGAAACACGAATCAAATCGAACCGCACCGAATGGTTTGGTTCTGCGTATTTGAAACGGTTTCGGTTTTGAAACCAAACCGCAACATAGAAAACGGTTTAGTTTTGGCTTTTGAAAACCGCATCGAAACCGAACCGCACCGCAAATATTAATAAACATTTAATTAAAAGGAAAACTAATGAAAATGACTTGAAAACTTTGAGTTTTAATGATAAGGACAAAATAAAGGGTAAAGTGAATAGTACCAAGATTGACTTTTTAGTGTAAAAATGTGGTTTTTCGTTAAAGTGAACAGTACCAGGAGCTTTTCGTTAAAGTTCCCTTAATTAAATGTCCATATTATATTTCATGTTTTAATTGGTTGTTTGTTAGAATCCATACACTTAGTATAGGACTCAACCACACTAGAATATCATCATTCATCACTTTCTTTCGTTCATTAACTTGAAGGACCTTTGTTATTTTATACCATCACACACACATATATGTATAAGGGTGGATTGATCTTGTTATCAAGAGTCGAACAATGATCTAATGAAGTCCACTCATTTGAAGCATGATATCACATATTCTAGTATCAAAGTTTCGCTCACGTTTAATGAATTCAAATTTATTCAACTTGTTTTATGATAAACATTGTAAGAGACACCCTTTTGTTGCACAAACATGTTTTAACATCACAGCTACATGCAACATGCTAATTGTTTAAATAACAAATCTCTTTTTCCTATTGCTATTGGGAAATGTTTATTAATATGTTAAATTGCAAATTGTACATTTTTTCTTAAAAACCAAACCGAAACCGTTTGAAACCGCACCAAACCGAACCAAACGGTTTGGTTTCATTTCAGTTTTGGCTTCAAAACCGCACCGCACCGCACCGAACCGCAAAAAATTTCGATTTCGGTTTCGGTTTCACTCAAAACCGCACTGAACCAAACCGTGCCCAGCCCTATTTCTTTTTCTGTTTTTTTTCGAATGATTGGAATTTTTAATAGAATCCATATAACCTCTTTTTACACCGAATTTAAATTTTAAATGTAAAATATTTTTTATCTTATTGCCTAATTATCATAAAGTACAAGATTTAATTAACAATAAACTAAATTTATAAATAAACTCACACCCAACAATCAAACCCTATATGATCACACAACGTTTTCTCCTACGTCTATTATGGCTAAAATCCTTATTCCTTTCACCTCCTCCTGTAATAAGTTAATAACCAAACCCTAATACGCTTTTATACAGAAAAAAAAAACATACTCTTCTTCTGAGGAAATGATGATTTTGAAGTTTTAGAGCTCTCCTACATGGACCTAGCTTCTCTGCCCTCCCAGTTCCCGTACACTCTAGGGCTGGAAAAAAATCCCAAAAATCGCAAACCAAACTGAAAAAATCCCGATCCCAAACCAAAATTCCCGAAATTTTCGGTATGTTATCCCAAACCAAACCGATATTTTTGGTACGGGAATCGGTTTTGCATCTTCATTTTTTCGGTATTCCCATACCGAACCAAAAATAAATATTTTATATATAAATATTTTTTAATTATAAAAGAATTATATGAACTGTTGATTGTTTTGGATTTAATCTATGTCGTTGGTTTGTTTTTAGGTCAGCATGCTACATACGGCATACCATTTCACTTTCACAGTCCACTTCACTTCAGTTCACTTCCCTTCCATTTCTATCGAATAGCCGAGCGGCCAAGCCCTCCTCATCTCATCTCTGATCTCTCCATTACCGAGCCGGCGAGCCCTCAGCTCATCTCTCTCTCTCTCTCTCTCTCTCTCTCTATGATGAATTCCGGCTAGCCACCGGCCACAGCCACATCTGACTCTCCAGCCTTCCTTCACCACACAGCCACCTGTACGCCACCTTTCTCTGTCGCGACGATCTCTCTCTGGGGAACTCTCCATCCAGCACTGAGTTCGAATCTCTGTCATCCCAAATTAGGTAATTAATTTAATTTAGTGTTTTGAAATCTAATTTCTGTCTTCCTTTTGAAATTTAACTTAGGGTTTGGAATTCATTTTGTGTATTATTCCCCCTTTTTTTTTCTTCAGTTTTTATGTATTATTCAGCGGAAGATTCAATTTCCAACTGGGTTCTCGAATTCGTGAGCTTTTTATCAAAAGGTACGTTTTTGTTCGATAAAGTTCATTATTTGAGTATGTGAGTTCAAATTTACGGCATTTGGGAGTTCGAATCATTGTGTATTGCCATTTGGGTATCTGTATGTGGGTGTGAATCTGTATATGTGAGTTCGAATCTGTATGTGGTGTCGCCCTGTGGGTGTGAATCTGAACAAATTGATTTCAGTGCATAAATTTTCAATTTTGTTATCACATTTTTGAACTATCAAAGGTTAACTCAATGGTTGTAAGCACCAAAGGGAAAAATGGTTAAGTGAACATTGTTCGCTCAGTCTTTCCATCAAACACCTCGGGTTCAATTTCAAGCACCAAAGGGAAAAATGGTTAAGTGAACATTGTTCGCTCAGTCTTTCCATCAAACACCTCGGGTTCAATTTCATTTTCTGGTTTGAATTCAATTTTGTTGTTATGAGATTCTTTTTTGTTTGTTTGCACCATCAATTTTACTACTTTTTTTTGTTTATATCTATGAACCCAATTTGAGGTTTAATTTTTGTTGCATCTGAAATGCAGAATAACAGACTTGAAGTTTAGACTGAATTGCTCTGATTAGTTAAGCAAAACATAAATATGCCCAATCATCTGCATTTTTTTCTTTTTTTAATTGTTATTGCAACCTTTACTAGTTCACATCTAACTGGGTTCTTTTCATTCTTACACGCCTAATTTTTATTTTTAGTTTTTTAAACAATATCTGAGAACTTCTCTTACTTTTAAGTTTAACTGATTGCAGTGCTATGTGGGTATTAGAAAACGAAGACTAGGTTTCTCTGTGATCCTCTGTGTAGCGTGTTGTATGTTTATTTCTAGTCTACACTGGTTCTTGGGAAATTCTGCAGAGAACTATTTGTTTCGTGAGCAATCATCCCTGTAATAACTAGTTTTTAGCAAAATGCGTGCTTACATTTGCTAAATTTTGGACATGATGCACCGATGTTTTGTTTTTTAGCCTTATCAAACATTGTTTTGTTGCAAGCAGAGATAGCCAGACAAGAAGCAAGGGGCCAAAAAGGCCAACAATCTTCATAAACTTTAAGCTTTGCTTTTTTTGCTTTTGATTTGTAACTTAATTATTTTGAAACTTTGTCTCATAACTAATTTTTTTGCTTTTGGGTTTGTTACTTTATTTATTATAAAACCTTGGCTTGTAACTAATTTTTTTAGCTTTTGGATTTGTCACTTAATTTATTTTTATTGCATACATGTGTATTAGAAATTGAATAGGCAGATTAAGGATGCTATTGTGCACAGATTTCAGCCATTTGTGCACAGATTTCAGATTGGCAGATTTGTGTAGATTCAAATTTTAGTGAAACACCAAATTGGGCAGATTGGCAGCCTGCCCAAAAGCCCAAATTTTCAATATAAAAGGTTGGATTTTAGCCCAAAAGCATAATATGTTAAATTTAGTCCAAAACCTCAAAAGCCCAAAACTATTTCGAGATTCCCGATTTGTCCCAAAATCCCGAAAATATTTTGTGATTCTCGAAAAATTGGTTTGGGATCGGTATTGAAATTGGGATTCCCGAAAATTTTGGTTTGGGAATCGGGACAAATGTTTTGGTTTGGTATCCCATACCGAACCATCCCTAATACACTCTCATCTCCTCTTATTTGTGCAGTCACGATTAAATCACATCAATATTTTATATCACTATTGTTTTTTGTCTTATTATCTCTATAAAAAAAATTAATATAAAATGTTGACGTGATTTAACCGTAACTGTACAAAATATGAGTGTATGGAACTGGGAGGCAGAGAAGCCGGATCCCTGCTACATGGGCTCAAACTCCAATATGCCAACCTGTTTGACAATTTTTGGCCTAACTTTGACAACAAGACATCCACCACATTCCAATTCATGGCTTCTAATCACTCGCTCTGACAATTTTTTTATTATTATTTACCTAATCAGATAACCCTAATACCGTTCAAATTTACCTATTTCTACTTCAACTAATCCACATTCCCCTTCTAAAGGTTTCCTACTGCCTTCCACACAATTTGAGGCATAGCCGTAGTTAGAGGTGGTTTGATATGGGATCTTAAATCGAAAATGGAATTTCGAATCCTAAATAAAAAAATTTCGGGATAAGAATTTGAAGACCAATTCCAAACCGAAATTTCGGTATTTCTAATTTTAGGAATTCTCGAAATATTTTCGGTATTTCAGTATTCCCAATTCAATTTTAATTGAATCTAAAAACTGACTAAGAAGATGATGGCACCATATCAGCCAAGCCTGTTCAGTGATATACTCAAAGCATTTCTAACCTCATTATAGTCGTATCGATTAAACAGAACTAAGGTTAAGTTAACTCAAAGATTGCAACACTTGCAAAAGCAAAACAGTCCAAGACCACTTTCTTCCTCTGCTTCCTTTGTTTAAAACAAATTTGATAAATCCTTTACTCCCTTCGAACAACCCCAATATGTTCATAACATCATTACCAAAACTATCGAAGTATAAACTCACCCATCAAAACCTTAAGGTAAAATACATACACATAAAAAACAATTTTTTTTTAAAAGGACAATAATAATCATACGTAACCAAAATAAATGTATATATATATATTTTTGGTTTTGTTTGAGATTCCCGAACCATTGAATATATAATCCTGATTCCCGTACCAAAAGGTTTGGAATCGGTTCGATATGGATCCTGAAAATTTCGGTATTATTGGTTTGGGAATTTTTTTGGTTTGGTTTGGGATTTTT